GCCACCATCAATTACTTTACAATTCACGCCTCAATCACTTCACTCGTCCTTCCCTACCTGTTTTGGCCTCTTCGCCCTTTTCTTTGCCACTAACAGCGTGGGGGGCGGGGGCGCTGGAAATCCACTTTACTAGCCAAGTATTTGTCTACCCCAACTCGAGAGCGTCTCGCACTTTGCAGTCCATTTTCTTTCTTTCTTGTTGTGCATTTTAGCATTAAGAATGTCAACAAATATCAGATTGGAACAAAAGGATTACAACAACTGACAAAAGCACTCTTTACTCACCTACATACATACCTATGTTTGTTTGTCTATGTGGTTGTTGTTGCTGCGAATTGCAAGTAGCTGCAGCAGCTGGCGCACCTTGCCAAATGTGCAATCCGAGACAGAGTGGAATTCTCACAGATGCATATGCATAATGGTTATCTGTATGTACTCGTAGTTAGTTAGAAAACTGTGCCTGTAAATATTTAGTTACAGAGGAAACATTTGCATTCAAAGCTTAGCCACATGCCCTAGGAATAGCGAAGGTAGTTTTCATCTCGAAGTCCGGAAAGAAGGACACTCTTCATTTAGAATCCTTCAAACCAATCTGCCTCTTATCGGTGGTAAAACATAAATAGTTGCCGATGGAGTGCTTCGAAGCCAAAGAATACGCGGTTAACTTGTCAATGGTACGCTGATGACATAGTAACTGTATGTGGGCTTTTTAACCCCAGTATGAAGATCGATATTTTAACGAAGAACTAGCCGGAATTTACACCACCGAGGACACCATGCTCCCAAAGTTCAGTTTTACAAAAAAGATTAAAAACTCGATTAATTGATAAGTAACAAGTAAAAAAAATTAAGTTCGGGCAAAGCCGAATAATAAATATCCGGCCCGCGTGTGGTTTTTAAACTTTTCCGAAAACTGCCGTTACATGGTAATTCAAACAGAGCGTGTTCAGTTAGACTTAAGGAGATAATGTTATACAGTTATAAGTGGGCGGTACCACGCCCATTTTTCCAAATTCTTCAACGATCTTATTTCTTTTTAAGAGATTGCTGTCAGTATCAACTTTGAGTAAATTAGCGTCCTTAAATTTCGAAATAACGAAGTTTCCGCAGTTCAGAAATTTACCGTTGTATGAAAAATTTCAGCGTTTTTCTTCTATGTGGCCAGCACAATAATCATTCAGAGTTTGATACAAATTGGACGAGCGGTTACCGAGTTAAACATATGTGGTCATAACTGTGTGTGGTGCCACGCCCATTTTTCAAAAATTTATAATATTCATATTTTCCGCCTAAATAGTGTGTGAATAAAGTTTAGTAGTTACTAAAATATCGCAGTTTTGGTATTTCTGAAAACTACCATTATATGGGAGGTAGGCGTGGCTATAAGTCCGATATCGGCCATTTTCAATACCATCCGTTCAAAAGAAGTACATGCACTAAGTTTCGTAAAGATATCTCAATTTTTACTCAAGTTCTCGTGTGGACAGATGTACAGACGTACGGACGGACGAACAGACAGTCACAGCTTAATCGAATTCTTTTCTTCATTTTTGCGCTCTGGTGTAAAAAGAACCAGATAAACGAGCATATGATAAAGTTGAAATATGAAGCTTGTGGAAAAGGTATGTACATATTCTAGGGAGAGGTATGCAGAAATCAGGCAAAAAATCTCGTTGGATAAAAAAAATTACCTTTAAATATATAAGATATATAAGATTTTCAATTCATTTCTTTTTTTTTGGCCTGAAAACAACATTTTATGAACTTTCTTGAAAGTTTTAAACATATTAGACTCCATGGTTGCTTAAAGCGAAAAATATATTTTAATTTATTCTCCATCACTTTGGATGTAAAATATTTACCACTACAGTCCAAGAAACGCTTTAGTAACGAATAAGTTACGGAAATAGTTAACCAGTCTAAGGAGGAACCGTAGCTTGTAAAATAAGTGAATAGTAAAAATATATTTTTAAAACAAGCTTTCTAAGTATGAACCAAATCGCTCCATAAATGTGGGTTTTCCTAATGTCAAGACTCCCGCGCCACCCAGCGGATTATTTCATTTTTCACATTGCTTTGTCATCGGGTTATGAGCTAAGTTTTTATGTTTCAAGTATCTAGCTTATCGGGAAGTTAGTGAAATATTGATTGCGAAATCCCAGGACATGCATATTTCGGAAAAATAGTAAGATTTACGTGAGCTGGACCTATTTTAAAATACATCAAATATCGAGTTTTTTATAAATAAATTTAGATTTTTAAAACAAATGTTATAAAAAAATTACCTCAGATCATAGAAGGGCTTAAGCTTAAAAGGCTTTTACCAATTTATTTTTTAGTTTTATTAACGGAATCAAAATAACGTGATTTTTTTAAGGGCTCCCGTAAATCTTAATATTTTTCCGAAATATTTTCGCGGAAGTCTTAAAATATTTTAAAAATTTTAAGATTCCGGTGGGAAAACCGCTATTTTTCTTTTTTTGTGTTGCACCCTAATGTACATAAATGTGAAGTTAAATAAAAGCTTGTAAAAAGGCGTAACTCCTTCTGAATAGCTTTTTTTTTTTTAAATGGCGCATTTGAAGTAAAAGAATTAAGTTTATAGTGCCAAAGGCATTGAATCGATGAGGACTCAATTAAAGTAACGAGAAACGAAAATGAAGTGGGTGAGATCGCGAGATATAAGGCTCTGAGTTTATTATAACCACAAGTAAATCAAAGGATATGAACGATTACGAAAAACATGGGACTATATGTAAGTTGTAGTAAACGATGAGAATAAGAATTCACTTTTATTCTCACCATCTAATTGATAATGAGAATAAATATCCATCCTCATGAGAGTGAATTCCGATTCTCATGAGAATCATTCTCATCATCATACATAAATACTATCTGTCGCCTAAGAGGTATTCCCAACGCTCGCGTGCTCCATTCAAATCCTTGCAAAAAAAGTAATTTATTGAATATCTATCGGAATACGATTAATCTTTCTTAAACCACCCAGATACCAATATTTGACAAGTGTTAATAAAAAAGTAAATGATAACTCAGACAAAAATGAGATGCTACACACAAATCACTATCAATTCCACTGCGAATAAAAGCAACAGAACAGAATCCCAGGCAAAAACGTTTTATTGATGAACTTGATGAAGAGCACTCTCATGTGCCACTTACAGACATACTCGAGCACCAACCAACCAACGCCTCAACGAGTACACAACAAATAAGTAGTCGCTTTTAGTTCGTACATACATATATATACATGCATACATATGTACATATAAAGAAGCAAAATGCATGTGTATGTATGTATGTTTGTACTGAATTTATGTTCTGTATAAACGCTGCAATCAAAATCTGGCAAATGTCATTCGAATGTTTACGTTCAACTGAACAAATAAGATAACATCCATGGCCTTGTAGCACAGACTGCGTGCCGCCAACGCTCTACACTCATCGAGCACTCCCCGCGCGGCTTAAGTATAAGTAAATTGTTGCACAGTCTCGATAGGTATGTATGTATGTATGTGCCGGCAGCATCTGTGTGGGAAACCGTAAATAGCTCCCAAAGGGATGTTTAGCAGGCGCCGCACCCGTGCTGAGTGACATTTCACCCACCTCCAGCCCACCTCCAGCTCAGCTCTCCTCCACTCCACCCCTTGCTCCTTCGACGCAACGCACTTCACTCCCCCCATGTCGAGTTGTTTGAATTGAATTAAATGTTGCGGCCGCTCAATGAGCCTCGGCTAAAGAGTGAGTGGCGGCTAAGTGTGTAACTATTTATGTGTGTGCGTGTGTGTGTAAGGATAAATGTAGCATCAAGGATTCTCAACATTGATAGACAAAATAAGAGGGTTGCTCTTTTCTGCTCCTGCCGGCTACTTGCGCCTGCCTACTTGCCTGTAAGTCAGTAGTAGTGGGCTATGGCGTTAATTGCTTGTAATTTGTTACTGAATGGCATTTAATTGCGGCAAGCGAAATTTATTAAATTTATTTACTTATTAATTATAAGTTCACAGTTGTGGCCCAATTATGCAATAATTTATTTGCATTTTTTTCTTTTCGTTAACTTATACGCATTTTAGAGCTGACTCGGTCACCTGGAATCCACATAAATTGATGGGCGCCCTATTGCAATGCTCTACCATACACTTTAAGGAGGATGTAAGTACGGTTTTTTTATACCTTTCATGAGCATGAAATGGTATTATAACTTTGGTCCGATGTTTGTAAGTACCAGAACAAAAAGAGATAGACCCATTAAAATGTATACTTTTATGATCAGAACGTCGAGCTGAGTTGATTTAGCCATGTCCGTCTGTCCGTCTGTCCGTCTGTCCGTCTGTCCGTCTGTCCGTCTGTCCGTCTGTCCGTCTGTCTGTCTGTTTGTATGCAATCTAGTCTCTCAGTTTTCGAGATATCCGGATAAAATTTGGTAGGTGGGTGTATTTTTATAATGTATTAATCATTTGTCGGAACCGGAAGAATCGGACCACTATAACATATAGCTCCCATACAACTGATTGTTCAGATATGAGATTTTTCGTTATAACTTCTCCATTTATGCAGCTACGAACATGAAATTTTGCAGCCCTTGCACCTATTATCAACAGAATTCTTACAGTGAAAATTACAAAGATCGGGTCACTATAACCTATAGCTCCCATACAACTGATTGTTCAGATATAAAATTTTTCGTTATATCTCTTCCATTTATATATCTGGGAACAGGAAATTCCGCACAGTTTTCAATAATTATCAACAGAAAACTTACAGTGAAAATTAAAAAGATCGGATAACTAAAACCTATAGCTCCCATACAACTGATTGTTCAGATATGAGATTTTTCGTTGTAATTCATCCATTTATGTAGCTAGGACCATGAAATTTCGCGCTGTTTTCACTCATTATCAGCAGAAGACTTACAGTGAAAATAACGAAGATCGGGTCACTATAACCTGCAGCCCCCATACAACTGATTGTTCAGATATGAGGTCTTTTATCATATCTCCTCCATTTATGCAGTTAGGAACATGAAATTTCGCACCATTTTCACTCATTAACAGAATACTTACAGTGAAAATAACAAGGATCGGGTGACTACAACATATATCTTCCATACATCTGATTGTTCAGATATGGGATTTTACTGTAAAACTCCTTTATTTGAACAGCTAAAACCGATAAATTTCGTAAGATATTTTATAAATAATAATACAAAGTCTACTGAGAAAATCGTCAAAATCTATGCTGTATAAGCTTTATCTCTAATAGCACTGATTGTTCAGATACCAGTTTTTGCGATATATCTCCTTTATGTAGGAAACTAAACCCAATAAATTGTGTTACCGGTTTACATACCGATCACATAGCAGTGAAAATCACTTAGATTGGTGTCATATAAAGTATATCTTCCATACCTCTGATTGTTTAGATGCGATTTTTTATATAAGTATGTAACTCCTCTATCGATGTATCAAAATCAGTAATCTGTCAAACTAAAATTTGCAGATGTTCATGAAAGGTATGAAGCCTTCGGCATAGCCGAAGACAGCGCTGCTCACTTGTTTTTAATTGGTTTTAATATGATTTTTATGTTTTGGGTAGTGGAAAATGTGTAACCTCTCACATTGTAGAACACAATTCTTTTTGCTTTAAAATCGTTGATTACGTACTCGTATAATACTTTGAGCAGAAAATGTCTGCTTCTTTAAGGGCGGAAATGGAATTTCAGAATATGCCTAATACTGTTCGAGCGTTTATAATCGATTTTTTTTTTTTACTTTTAATGCCGCATCTCCACTAGGCAATGGAATGAAAACAGATTTGTACAATTTAAAAAAAAAGCATTGTTATTAAAGATTTTGTCATTTAATGTCCAGTTCGAAACTTTTAGGAATTTTTTCTACGAATTTTCAGAATTTGTTCTGTTTCTTTTTTTTTACGAATTCAAAGGATCTTTTGGCAGTTTTTGAGATCTCTCTGAACTTTTTGGAATGCATCGGAATTTTTCCAGGACTCTTAAGCTTAATGGCACTACATGCATATATCAATTCACCTTTTTTTTGTGTTCTGCTAGCTTTTTTTAAATTCTAAAAAATCAACCGTAATTTTTAGCCATTTGAAACTTGTACTTTATTCTACTAGAATACAATGGGCTACAAAACTTCAGAATCTAATTAAAAATGGAAATTTTTACGAAAGGGCACGAATTTCAACCCTGTTTGTGTGAAATATTTTATTTTTATCAGTATTTTTCTTTTAATAAAACTATGTTGAAATAAAAAAATATTTTGTCAGAATCGTTTAAATTTTTTTCATGTCACTTTGACGTGATAGTACGCACCACTAACAACTTGGATACAGCGGCTGTATTTAAAACTTTTTAAACTCTTTAAGGGTATTCGCGCTTTTAGGATTTGCTTGTAATGAACTTTCGAATTTTAAGTCGGAGATTTTATTTTCGTGAGCAAAGCCATGAGGGGCTGAACACATTTCGCACAGTGTACATACATATGTACATATGTATGTTGGATATCGAAATGACTTGCGTTATACGCAGCGTTGAACCTCTTGTAAACTGCCGGCATAGCCACCCCCAAACGAAGAAAGAAAATCTTCACAGCAGTTGTTGCACTGTACAATATGCAACATCAGCTACGACATACATACACTAACAACAAAAGTCATTCATTCAATATGTTCGCATTGGTCACAGTTGCTGTTGAAAGCTATTGCCAGTCGTGGCTGAGTCAAACTGTCAGTTTAGGAATTTTAATTAAAATTTTAACTTGACTTATTGCCAAAATGTAAGCGGACGCAGGGCTGACTTTGGTTCCAACAAGAATTTAGGTATTTAGATGCACACACGATCTAAGCGTATGTTATTGTAGTCGTAACCGCTAAGTAGTTTGTGAAAATAAATATCACTAATATTTCACATTTTTAGGAACAAAAAAGTTTCAAATTCTTTAAAGCTCCACCTAATATTACATACATATATGTAAGTATGCACAGGTACTTAAAAAATGTGCATGTATGTATGCATACACACACACAGCCTCCAGCATATTGCGCACTTCATAATCCCCTTAAGTAAATAGTCTGACAGCCTTGAGAGGAATTACAATTACAACTACAAGCAGCGGAATCAACATGAAAAGCGCATTAAATGCGTGTGAATTCCAAATCTGCTGCGAAAATGCTCAATTCTCAACACACACACACGGTATACTCGTTTTCGCCCACTTCCGGTCCGGTCACGCGCTAACACTTTCGCCTCCACAGATATTTTACTCGCCACCGCACTCAACTGAGTCTAATCCCCCCACTACTGCTCTCTCTCGCTCTCTCTATCTTTTTTTTCCCCACCCGCAGGGTCTATTGATTAGCTGTAATCAGATGTCAGCCGAGTATCTTTTCATGACCGACAAGCAATATGACATCAGCTACGACACAGGCGACAAGGTCATCCAGTGCGGCCGGCACAACGATATCTTCAAATTGTGGCTACAGTGGCGCTCCAAGGGCAATGAGGGATTCGAGCGTCAGCAGGACCGTTTAATGCAACTTGCCGAGTATCAAGTGAAGCGCATCAAGGAGCAGTCAGATCGCTTCCATCTGATACTCGAGCCGGAGTTGGTGAATGTTTCTTTCTGGTATATACCAAAGCGTTTGCGCGGCGTTCCACACGATAAGAGGAAGGAAGCTGAATTGGCAAAGGTAAGATCATGATTTTCATTAAAATTTGGTTTAATTTAAAAAATTGTTTAACCATCATCGCTTTGCAGATTTGCCCCGTCATCAAGGGGCGCATGATGCAGAAGGGTACATTGATGGTCGGCTATCAGCCAGACGATCGGCGGCCAAATTTCTTCCGTTCGATCATCTCGTCTGCCGCAGTGACCGAGCAGGATGTTGATTTTATGTTGGAGGAAATGCATCGGTTAGGTGACGACTTGTAAAGGAACACACACACAAAAAATTAACTGTCTCCGCTGGTTCAGCTCACTTACATACATACATATGTATATGTATGTATGTATGTGACTGTACAGTTGCAATCCAAAGCAGAGCTACAGGCTGGGCCCTATGGAAGGAAGGAAGGAGGTGGAAAAATTAGTTCAATTAACGAAAAATCAAGCAGACGAAAAACGCAAACAAGCAACAAAACAAAATAAAAAAAATGTTAGAAAATATTAGAAATTATTATTTAGCAAAAAATCTACATATATCAACCAAGAACTATCTTTAAGGTAAAAGCATATCAAAAGAATGTTGTTGGCGCTCAAGTGGCGCATCCATTTTCATTATACATTTAGTAACTATATACATATATATATATATATATATAGTGGTTATCATTATCAGATCAGATGTATACTCACGCACTTAAGCACTTAAGCAAGTACATACATACATACATATGTACTTGTGCGCTGTCAAGTTTGTTAAGTATTAACGAATTCTTTTTAATTAACTGTTTTAACTGTTGTTGTTATTGTATGCCTGAGACTTTAATCACTGTTTCGTTTGTGTGCTAACGAACGAGATAAACTATATTTAAAAATAGGAAAAATAAACTTATATATACTCGGTAAGTTTAAAATGTATACATTCTAATGAAATGCAGAGCAGGTGGAAAGAAGATGGAAATGCAGCTGGAGATGGGATGGATAGGGTAGAGGAGCACATCTCAAAAGAGCATCGATAAATCCCCGACCTCGTTGTCAATTACATTTAGTCAGAGACGGTGCAAATGCCGCACAGAGTCTGCTCGCACAATTGTTCGTGTGAGTGTGTGAGTTCTGTAGGGTCAATTGCACCAGACAGCAGTAGAAAATTAATTTTAACTACGCACATTCATATATAAATATTATGTATGTACATACATATGTAAATGAAATAGGAAAACAACTGTATGTACATACATACATACATACATATGTAGTACATAATTAGCTGCATATTTACATAGTACATGCATTTACATATACATACATACATACATATCGAGTCCTAACCGCCAAAATAACGTAAGCGACATTTTTTTCAAATTTTTCTTTTTGATGCAAAAATGCATCTAGACGCTCTAGGAATATTTCTGCATCAAAAATAAAATTTTGAAAAAAATGTCGCTAACGTTATTTTGGCGGTTAGGGCTCGATATGTTCCATTTAGTGGCGAAAGTCATTGAAAAAATGTGTAAATTTTTGAACTCATAAATAAAATTTGGTTGAAAGAAGAAATTGGAAGAGAAGGCAAGTATACATAGTTGTAGTGGCATAAACTCATTCAGACAGCATGCAGCTGATGAAAAGCCAACAAAAAAAAATATATCTTAACGAATACGCTTTGGACTGTTATTTGAAGAAAAATATAAAAACAAAAAGTTTACATACAAACATACAAATATATATGTATATGGATCAGATATAATTATAAAAAATTTAGTATTTAATTAAAAATGAGTCAAAGTAAGCCACACAGAACACAACCACCACCACCACCACCACCACCACCACCACCATCACTAAAGATTCACCATTATCACCCACCAAGGCATACACCCCACCATCCCGCACACAGCGCCGCCTGCAATTCAGCGGCATTTATGACTCGAGAGCGCACGAAAGGCTTTAGCTGAGCTGAGAATTGAACTGATCAGCGAAGCGCGCTTAGCTACACCTGCGTGACCTTAGGAAGCTGGAGCCGAGGATACATACATACATGTGCGCGCATTTTGTCATCGCTATTAAAATCTGGTCTAAGGCTCGCTTTATTAATTCGCAGTAGTACAAAATTTGCATAATTCCATTATGCTTGATTGTGCGGGCAGATACATACATACATACATACATACATACACACATACATACTCGTGGTACTCATACGAACTTTGTTAGCCAATATTTACAATTTCCTTCGAATTAAATGTTTCGTCCATTTAAACAATTCAATTTGCTCACATACATACATACATACATAAATGTTATATAATGTTCAAATAAAAGAAAGAATAAACTAAGCAAATTTAAGAGTATTCAGGCAGATTTGATAATACGCCTCCGAGTGAATTTCAACCAAAGTCACTTCGAATTCAAATTGTATGGCGTTGAAATTCGGTCGGAAGTGAATTGCAGAACCCGCCTGTATGTATTTTATTTGAGAAGTTTATTATTTGTTCCAAACAGCAATGTGGATGAAATATGAAAATCTCTTTAATTTAAATTTTATAGTTTGATTGCATTTTCGGTATAATTTTTGAACTGGGATGTCTGGGCTGAAGAAAGAAAGGAAGAAGGGAAATTTGTATCAATAGTTTATAATTTTCACAGAAATAAGTTGCCGAAAAAACAATCCAATCGATGACATTCTTGGTTTTAGAGACTTACTTGTAAATATATTTTCCATACTTTGCAAAATTATCCCACAAACAAAATACATACAGTATTTTTCAAGTTTTCAAATCAGTGCACAATTTTTTTTTTAATTTTTATATTTTTTCCCGGGAGCTTGAGAGGCATTTCCAAGAAAGAGAGAAGTTTCATTCGTAGGTTTAAGATTAAAAAAAAAAATACAATTTTTATGAGTTAATTTGTTCGTAATTTTTAGAATTTAGCCCATTTTTTGAGTTATTTTTGGTATTCTTTTTATTTTTTTTTTTTTTTGTGTGTAAATTTACAACATTTTCCTGAAATTGTTAAATTGATTGCACTTCCCAACACTTAAACAGTTTTCACCATTTATTTACTTTTTTTGTTTATGTGAAAGATTTTTTAGCAAAGCCAGTTCTGGCAGTCTATATATATATTTTTTCTATGTCATGCCTTTATACCTGACCATCTGAGCATATATTGTGTTTTTCAATTACATCTGTACTTACTTCTTTGAACTGTGAACACTTAAGTTCAATCCTTTTTTTTTTAATTTCGAAATGTTTTTGCGCAAGATATGATGACGTAGTGAGAACAAGCCTTAAGTCATTTTGCGTTAGCTTTTAAGTTCACTTTATTATAAGAATATAACACGCAATGTGAATTTATGCAGATATATTTATGCATGTCACATACATATTTACAAATGCAATATCGATATATACTTATGTATGTGTGTTATATATTAGGGTGATCGAAAATAACTAACCAACCGAATCTGTGGTCTTAAATGGACCTATTTGCTGCGAAGAAAATTCTCCGGTTTGGAAAAATTTTTATTCCAATTTTAAAAGGTGTCGATGGGCATTTGAACATGTACATGTAAATTGTATGAAAAAAAATAAATTTTCATTCCAAATGCTATAGCTATTAAACCGTTAGGAATCCACATTTTTCATGAGAATAAAATTTTTCAAAATGGGAGAATTTTCTTCGCAGTAAATAGGTCCATTTAAGACTATAGATTCGGTTGGTTAGTTATTTTGGATCACCCTATTGTATATGCAAGACGTTATGTACCTATGGAAAATGTTAAAGTTACCTGTGCTTATTATACATATGTACATATATATCTATATTTAGTATTACGCATGTCATATTTTAAATGCAGTGCAAATCGGGTTTATTTATTTTTTTTTTATTAACTAAAAACGCAAAACAGACTAAAAAAATATGTCAATTAAGATAAGGTACTGCTCAAAGTAATAATTTTGCTATTAGATTATTTTTTTTTTAAATATATATTTGGGGAATACATTCTAACTCATACGGGTGCGTATACAGTATGATATGGACACCTACGCAAAAAAAGAATATTATTATTTAAGAAATATTTATTTGAACTGTTAGAAAGAAAGCTTCTTATGGTGCTTTTTATTACTCAAAAATATTTTACGCCTGCCGGTTCGATTTTTTTATTACTTCAAAAAATTATTGCACATTATTATATTATTCTTCTATGTATTTAATCCCAGAGTATGTAACTATGTAACACAGAAGGTACTGGCAAAAACCTTTAAACTAGCTAAATTGAAATTGAAATGTTGTCAAATGTGTAATATACATAGATACACACATAATATTAAATATAAGTAAATGTTTTATTAAAGGTCGTCACATGCATATATAAATGCGTAAAAGAAAAATAATATACATATTTATTGTATTAAAAAAATAAAAAATAGATTCCATTTTATTGTTTATGTATTGTATTTCAGAGCAAATTATTAGATATATGTACATACATACATATGAATAAGAAAATCTATAAGCTACAAACTCATATTCTCCTAGTTGTGTCCTAACCAACCAAATACAATGCATATATATACTACAAAGAAATAGTTACATACATACACACATACATATGTACCATTATGCAGAAACGCATTCACAAAAAAAAATAATAATAATATTAACAATAAAATATACATAAATCAATAAACGAAAACTGGCAATTGGTTTTTTTACTCGAAGTGCATTTGCGTTAACGTACGTATTACGTATATTTCACGTCTATGTACATATTTTTTAGTTGAGTGCACTTCAAGAATTCTGAAAGCCTCTCTTTCTCTCTCTCTCTCTCGCTCTCTCTCTCGGTAAGTGCAAGAAATAGCGAATAAGGATAACAGAAAGCAGTTGGGCCTCGAAAAATAAAGGATACCCGTTAAAATTTAAGACCTATATACAAACATACGTTCCCATTAAAATTGTTGGCAGTACTAGGAGCCAGGTTTCATTCAACGGAGTTTAGCCAAATACAAGTAATCGATCCTAAAATCCGATGACTGGTTCAATGATGCACTGGAGAAGACTTATCCTGCATGGTTTGAAGCAATGTATAATATTAGACTAGAAATATTAATATTAAACTAAACACACATATGTACATATATGTTTGCACATATTGTCATATTTAATGAGTATAAACTACCCCTTTTACTCCATAGGGGCATATCCCACAAATCATCCCCCAAAACACGCACTTTTAAACTAATTTTTTCGATAACCTTTTTATTAAAAAGCACGCATTCGATTGCAGTGTATGTGCTCAGTTTACCAACGTGAATTTAAAAATGTTTACATGCGTACCAAATACATGAACAAAAACCGACTTCTTAGGACACTAGACCGAAAGTTCCCATAAAACTCAAATATAGATACATACATACATACGTACTTAGTTCAGCTTTAAACCATCCTTATGAAATAACAAAAGTGCAAGGTGCAGGGTGCACACGATAATTAATTTTTGTACACCCGTTTTTTGATTTTTTTGCATGATGCATTCCCGAACGTTTTATTTTGCAATTAGCGCTAAAATCCGTTTGTTTTTATTTGGCTGTTACAATTTTACATGGATTAAAAGGAAATAACTGAAAAATTGCACTTGTCTAATAAAACTCCTTTATTTGGAATTGTTTTCCGAATAATCAAGCTTTTCGCTAGCTTGGAGGGAAAACTTGTTAGGTACAGTTTCTTCCATTTATAGGCCAGTTCTCAAGAAAAACGAACAATTCATATAAAGTAATGCACGAGAAATCGAAAAGAAATTTTATTCTATCAAATTTCTTAAATCAGTTTGCAACTCTCAAGAAAAAATTATTTCTTCAAGAAAATTTACAACAAAGGTAAATTGTGTTTTTCAAAGCAATAGAAATAATGAAAAATATTTACATATGTATGTTATTTTTTCCATTTTTCCTAATAAACAAATCGTGGTGCAAAGCTCAATAACACTATTGAAAGAATAATATTTCTTATGATTTTTCTTGAGAGCTGGATGCTAAGCTTATACGGGAATTACTGAAAGTTCGCATTTTCCACAGTTCCGCCAAAGTGCATAATCTTTTTATCCAACGAAACTATTTTTTTTCCTGAATTCTCCATCTGAAATGCATTATTGTTCTCGTTCTCGAGATATTTGAATTTGTCACGAAAGGAGTTCAAGTTCCACACTGTGGGCCGTATTTGAATGCTTGAACTCATTTAAAACGCTGAAGGATCAATTGAAATTCGGGCCTCTTACTGCATCCATCTTAGTCCAATTTTCATTTAATCTGTGAAAAGGCAATAACTGAATCGGAATAGCTACCAACGTATAAACACAAGCTACTTTCGTAACCATCAGGACCCAATGAAATCATTTTCGTTGATTTCACGAAAATCGAACCTAAGATGGACCCCGAACTTTATATCCGCTTTCCAGAGATCATTTAATTTGAAATCAGCTGAAAAGGTTTCAATGCAATTCGCTGAACGTTGGCTTTCAAATATGCGAAAGTTATCGGGTTGTCAGCGGGTTTAAGTGAGCTCAAGCAAATAATCCAGATGAAAAAGGAACTCAATTATCAAACTTTTTCAACAACCAAGATTTTGTTTATAATAAATTCAACAACCTCGATTTTGTTAATAAAATGTGTTTATTCTTTATCTTTTCATATCTCTTCTGTAGTTTATAGTTAATAAAAACAGCTTAGTTGTATGTAAACATAAAGGGACGTTTGACAGAGGTCGTTCGAGTTACATTAAAAAAATTAAATTAGCGGTTATTCTTATAATTTAGTAATGTCTTTTGCTAAATAAGAAAACTTATATATTAAACATCTATCAATTTCGCATACATAAGCCGAATACATTTATTTTTGGGATAATTTGGAATTCGATTTGTGTTTTGTGCACGTCAACAATAATTCCTTTAAGTACAGGAAAATTACGGTAAAGCGATGATTTTAATGTCTTTTGTACTGTAAGCATATGTATATATATATTTTTATGTACATGCATATTCAGCCAACAAATATAAATAAAAATTAATGCATCTGCTTTTTCGGGTACCTTTTTTATTTTAAAACGCTGCTGCTTGGTTACATATATGAATGTAAATATTTTTTTTTTCCTAAATTGCATTATATCAAAATACATGCCTTTTCTTTTCCACTAAATCTCAGTAAGCATACATACATACATATTTACTATTTAAAATAACTAATCAAGATTTTACTGCGATCGCTTTACAGCGCTGTTATTTTATTATTGGTTTTTGGGATTTCGTTGAATTCCATTGGCAATTTTTTTTTCACCAAGTTGTAGGTAAGATTTACATTTACATATGTACGTCTGTATATAAAAGTTATTGCTATTTAAATTTATTTATATATCTGTGTGTGTGATTGGCAAGTCTGTTTCATGCATTGTTCCTTGTTTTTTTCATTTTCTTTGTTTTTTTTCTTCTTAATTTGAATTCTAAGATCCTATTCTGTTTTCATCCATTAGTGTATGTATGTACATATTCTTTCGGCAGCGCCTTTCTTATTCAATTCTGTAATTTTCTATTTATTGCGTTTCATTGCACCTCGGTTAAAAATTAAACATTTTTCAATTACAACGAGTATTAACCGATCGATGCTAGTTCGTTAAAAAATAATTAATTTCATTAATAGCTTCATTTATCTATAAGTTAAAAAAAAAAAAAACATTCAACCGAAGTGTATGTATTTATGTTACTAAACTTAGTTATTTAATTGCAAGAAATTTGTTGCGTAAAATTAATATTCGTAGCCAATTTGTGGTGATATGCTTCCACCAATTCGTAAGTGAGTATCCAGAGCGTTCATTGTCAATTTCATTCGCACCACCCAAACTGTTAGACCGTACTTCAGTTCTTTTAGATTTGTTTTTTTTTTTTGTGTGTTCGAAGTGACACTGGCAACTGTACAGCGTGTCCGTCTCACGGTTGCCGCCGCATTCCTCAACAGGACGGCATGCGGCGCATTCATCATCAGTCTGCCGACAGTTCATCGATGCGACAACGCACGGCGTGCTCCACCACCTCTAAGCTCGGGTAGTCCAGCTCTTTGACGAGACACAAAGTTGCCGATAGCAAATTCGAACTCTGAAAATGACAAAAAAAAATTAAATTATTTTATAAATTTTTTCAATGGAAATTTGGTAAGCTTGTTTCGTGAAGCTTGAAATTTCAGCCGTATTACTTCTACAAATCGAAAAATTCCTCAAGTGTTTTCATTTTTCACACTTACCCGATTTATGGGGCGCCTATGATAGCCCGAATAATGATTAAGTACAGCTGTTGAAACGGTGCTAGCTGAGTCACTGTAACGTCCATCGGGCCGCCTATAATTAAATATGTATGCATATAATTAATTTAAACCACTAATTCAAGAACAAATCACAAATCACTTCATTACCTGGCTCGCGGTCGCTCCGCGTCGTCCCAATCGCCGCCATTTTCACGCGCGCTGCCATTCCGATAAGCATAACGGTCACTGACCTCACTTCGACGCGGACCACCACTGCCGGCATGATGCAATGCAGCAGTGCTGCCAAATTGATTGTGCTGCTGCTGTTCCTCCCACTCAGTCAAATCGGTTTGGCTATGACGGTAATGGGCAGGATATGACGGACGATCAGACTGGTAGTATTCCTGCCAAAGAAAAAAATGGCAGAATGGAATAGCAACGCATATGCAAATACGAAAAATTTCAACAACAAAAATAACATAGCTGAAAGCTGAATGTACGTAAATTTAATATACGATTTTCGCACCAAAAAAAAAAAAACAAAAAAATAATGAATGATTTTAAAAATACCAAAAAATAACTGAAGTGAGGATTAATAATCGTATTAGTATTACCGCAACCTCAACTTACCTTCATCGATTGTGTAGATATGCTAGGTGGGATAGGCGCACGCTCCCGGTACCCAACATGCGGACTACTATCCTGATCCGAGCCCGGTGAGCGCTGTTATTCATTACCAAAAGTTTCAATTTGTTAGTCAAACGCAATTTCGTATAGCCGCGCAGTTTAGCGAACGTATGTATGTATGTATGTATGTACGTTGGTGTATGTTAAAATTTGTTGGAGTTACAATTTCGGTGTTTGAGTGCAAAAAAAATACATAACAAAAAATTGCTGGTTAATTTAGATAAAGGGTGCGTCAAAGTGCTTAATATAAGCTAAGAGCCGTTGACTACGAGCACAATGACATACATATGTATTTGTCTTATCCCAGCCCATACCACCTACCTATTCAGTTCACCTACAAGTAGAGTCCTCCTCGCATATTTCATGCCATGAATTCATAACACAAATTTCACTGAAAAACGTACATATCTACATATGTACATGTTTTAATTTATGGACCTACATACTTATGTTTATGTACGTTTGATAATGAAATGTTGCCGAAAAATCGCGTGACACTCGACACTGGCATATTCACAATCGATAAATGCAAATGACTCTCAGAGAGTGGATAGGAGCGGTCCTCCTACAAAGAAGAAGTTAGCCGAATCCGTTAGCGGTCTAGAGTTTACATCCTTAAAAATAAACTCCCATAGTCAGAAGGGAATATTATAGACCCGTTAGACTATATTTTCTTCAAAAAAGTGAACTCCTTGACACTACTCTTTCTCTTATTTTATGTCAAATTCATACAAATTAATGATTTCGCTGACACGTTCGAAAAATTCTTCTCTTGGTTACGAACCAGCAGAATTTAGAGACTCCGTTCGAATACATACTGTCGCCTCTATCTGCAAACAATTGAATAGGCATAAGAAAATTATGATTCCCCGTCGCACAAAAAAAAATGGTTTAGATATCCCATGGACTTTCCGCATATCGCTAGACTCTCAGCACAGTCCGAGGCTAGTTATAGTTGTATGTAAATTAGAAATACATTCATAATGGGTAGGTACTCGTAGTCAATGGATCTAGAGCTTTTGAGAGACTTCAGTTTACGCAAAAAAATTAAAAAAAATAATAATCGCAGCTACCAATGTTCTTACATCATTTTGATGATAGGACAACCGATTCACGTTCGTGTATGAATTATATTTCGGTGAAGGTGTATGCGCAGCAACTGGCTCCTGTGCAATGGGTGTTGACGGTGGTGTCAGAATAAAGGCGTACGCAAAATTGCAAAATGAAAATGAATTAGTACAGTGTCCATTAGTAGTGATGTTTTTGTTGATTTGGTGGTTTAATTTAATGAGTTGGTGGATTTAAAATAAGCATGGGCGTTGCCTAATTGTGCGGGTAACACATTTCAAAAAAAAAGTTGCGGATCTCGATTTCGCTTAAACTTCTCAAATTCATTTTTTGACTAGCTGTTCTGGTTTTCACAAATCAAGTAAATTTTCCAAATTAAAATTGAGTGCTGCTGTGCAAGTAAAATACTATTTAAGTGTTTGTGAAAGCCAGAATAGGGCAGATAGGAAACATAAAATAAATTTTGCAAAATTTTTTCGCAGTTTTTTTTTTTTTGATTTTCAAAGTTTTTAAAATTGCAGAATAATTTACGAAAGCATTAACGCTACATACATGAATGCAGTTGAGAGCACGAAATACCTGTGCGGGTGAGGCTGGTTTCGATACCTCATTGCTTTTGCTCGGCTCGCTGGCGCTTTCCTCTGTATTTGCCGGACTGTTTTGTTGCGAGGGCTTCGTTTGATTGATTGCAGTGTTGATATTAGCAGAGGTGCAATTAATTTTTTAGTATTTTAGTAACAGATTAGTTCAAGGGGTTTTGTTTGTGCGCGATGTCCGTATTGTAAGCGTGAATTTAAATTAGAATTAGTTATTAGTAAGTTAAAATAGATCTTAAAATACTTTCGCAAATCGAAATACTAATTTGTAGTGAAAAAAAACGAGAATTTCATATTAATATATACTCAAGAAAATTTAGCAATCAAGCGAATGATCACGGTATATTCTACTATACATAAATACATATTTATATGTACATTTATTCTAAGAGTAGTAGCCAGTGGCGGATTTAAATATTTGCCGCCCCTAGGCAATTCATAACTTGCCGCCCTTTTTTCACGAAAAAAAAAAAATAATAAAATCGCTCATCCGGAAGATTTTTTGACCTCGCGCAAGACAAACAGAAGACCATACACAGATACACTGCCTAATTTGACATACGACGGAAGCTGACCTTCAGATTATTCACGTTATGATACACTTATGAAAAACTGGTGGGCTTGGAATCAAGAATTTTCTCGAAAATGCACGCTCGTTTTTCGGCAGTGTTGTCAAGTGTGGTAACCTTTTAGATGATTCTCGTTCTCGGGGCAGCGTGTCGGCTGTTTCTTTGCGTCACGCGCAGGCGCGCCGTCAGGTTTCTAAGTCGCGTGAATGAAAGTTAAATGGAAATTTCAACGACTGCTATACTAAGGAAAAATTCGCAGCGTAATTCTAATTTTGAATTGTATTGAATGAGATGAATCATTAATAATATTTTACAGACACAAACACAATTTCAAGTGCAGCTGAATCCAAATAAATTTTTTTCTTTTAATTTAGCTGTCTTAAATTTTGCCGCCCCTTAATTCTGCCGCCCTAGGCTTCAGCCTATGTTGCCTGTACGATAAATCCGCCACTGGTAGTAGCCGCATAATTAGGAAACCTTTACAGGGAACAGTCTCCCAAATACAGAGTTTTTTTTTGGTTAGCTTTGAATTATAAGACCACCACTCTTCACTGAATTTGATTGCGGCTACTTTGACGAACATCGTGCCAAGGAACTGAAATCTCGAACTTTTTTTTTTTTTAAGTTCCAAAAATAAACCCAACTACTGCCTATTTTTCAATACCTAGAAAACGAAAAAAATTCGCAAAACGAAATTCTGCTTCATCAGCATACCAAGCCCGTTAACTGAAGGTGATCTAATCAATACCACATAACGTTACCTTAATTCACAAAGACCAAAAATTTTGTTTATTTTAGAGGAGAAGCAAAAAACATAAAAATAGTATCACGAACAGATAGGGCTTTTTAAAAAGTGAAAATAAAAAATTTAATTAAATAATAAAAAATAAAATTTTGATGGAAGGTGTACCAAAATCTGTAAAAAAAGCAGTTTCGAGAAAAAAAAATTGGTTAGGGCCTTTTTGAATTAAGGTAACGATATGTATGCAAGTACATACATATGTACACTAATGAACAAAGTGCTGAATATGAATCAAGTGTTGAAATCGATTTGTTTGCGGTGGTGAAGATGCATCAGTGCAATCAGAGTTATATCCTTCTCATAAAATTACCTCTTTCATTGGACTCGAACTGCGGCGCTGCTGATATTGTTGCGGTGACGAATTATGTTGGTACTGTGACGCCGCTTGTTGTTGTTGTTGTCTGTGTTGTGGCGGGTACTGATTTTGTTGTGATTGCTGCAGCTGTTGTTGTTGTTGTTGTTGTTGCTGAGGAGGTGAAGGCTGTTCATAACGCTGTGTTGGCTGTTGTTGCGCATAGCTATCCTCGTACACGTCCTCCTCTTCTCGCGTCCCGCCGGAACCACTACCGCTGCCGCCGCCGCCACCACGCAAAGCCTCATCGAGCTCCTCCTGTGTCACCTCAACATTATCCAGCTTCTTCAGATTTGGCAGGGCGCGAAGCACTGTTTGGCGGTAACTAAAAAAAAAAAATGGGGAAAATATTTGTGCATTTTGGGATGCGGTTCTATTCAAACAATCTATCTAAGTCTCACTTGGGCCCAACCCGATCACAGCACGGATTCTCCTCCAACCATAAATACTTGAGAGCAGGCAAGCTTTGCAGATAGGCGATTTCATTAATATCCTGTATGTTGTTTTTACGCAAATATAATTCCTGAAGTTTGTGGCAGTCTTCAAATGGTTGCAATGTGGTAATTTTGTTGACGCTGAAATAAAAAGAAGAGCCAAAAAAATTGTTGTAGTCGTAGTTAAAAACGCTCACAAAGAGATCTGCCTGTTATTGTACTAAAATTTAATGCGATATAAAACGGCGTACATAATTTTTAAAAATTAAAAAAAAAATTAAAATTTTTGGGACACCTTGGTCTTACAATACACATGTTTATGTATTTGAATGAAATGATTTTAATAATCGGGATCAAAACTATGCAAGCCGTTTTTACAAAAATATAAGCCTAATACTACGGAAATTATTGGGGGCAAAATCGAAGTTTCGAATTTTTAAGAGAAATACCGAATCTTAGCCGATTGTGTTACTTTTAATGAGTCCGACCGATTCGCACAGAAATTTTGTACAAATAGAGCAACGTTTACATATGTATGTATACATATTTATTTTTTTATAAGGAATAAAATGCGTAGGACAGTCAGCAAAAAAAAGTCTCAAAAATCAACGCGATTTTTTAAACATTTGAAATTTGCACATTATTATACTAAAATTTAATGGACTATAAAACTGCATACCTGAATTTTTTTAGAAATTCGTATTAAAAAGTTCGCAATTTTACAGATTTTTCATAATTTTCGCACACAGTACCATTCTTGGATTTAAATGGGGTTTGTTAAAATATAAGCCATAGTTTAATACAAAATTAACAAACAAAAATTTTAGCATGTAAAACATTGCAAATATTAGCAAAAAAAAGAGCCGCACGCTCAATTTTGTGAGTAACAGTACATAATGATGACTGCATTTCCTTAAACGAAGCTTTAATCAACTGCAACGTAAATCAAGCAACATATGCACAAACATGGATTCGTTAAATAAATGTAAACAGAAAATAAACCTTCCACCTAGTTTATATTTCGTTCAAAGAAGTGAATCATTCATGTATGTATTATATATTTATGTACATAATTCTTTTGTTTCAAAAGATTACTCATCCCTACTAATAATCGAAACTCTTATTCTCCTCGTAGTTTGCGTGTAATTTATATTCATTTTGACTTAATTGTTTTGCCTTTGTCGTCAGTTAACCAAAATCGGTAAGCTGACGTCATTGCTGGTGATGTTTTCGAAATTCATTATGCTTATAATGAGCGTTCATGTTACACTACTAGTCCAAATTACAGAATGCCACCAGAAAGTAATAAAGACAAAAAAGAAACTAGAAGACACATCATAAAATAAACAAACGAGCTTCTCTTAAGTACTGCTGTGGTTTTTGAGTGTCATCAAAGCGCCGTTAGAGCCATACTTTTATATGTAAATACATACAATATACATAAGGTACCTATCGCCATTGTCAATGCAAAGAGCTTTAAACAACAAATTTTAAAATTTTACTGGAGAAGCAAATTTTACATAGAAAATGCTTTCAGGGCCATTGTTAAGATGTCAATTAATATCTCGTAGTCTTTAAGAGACGCGGAGTATGATTAAACTTTGGATTTTGCTATAGGTAGGAATGCACCACAAACTATCCGAAGCTATCCGAATATTAAGCAAGGCAAAATGGTAAGGGCCTTGTTCATTTAAACCGAGCATTGATTGATATGAGCGAATGTATTTACATATCTAAATACTTATGCGTATGTGTGTATGTACATACCGACATACAATAAATCTCGAACAAGCTTAGTGTGAACACCTGTCGCAGCTGTGTAAGAAAATATTGTATGTATATTAGGGTGGTCCAAAAACAGTAAAGTCGGAATTGTAACGCTCTCACCCCCCTAGGATTGTTCTATATCTAAACCGAAATCAAAAAATATTTAGAGGTCCCTCAAAGTTTTCCATGTATTTTTATATGGGAAAAATAAATTTTTTCGTAGAAATGGTATAGAATTCTTGAAAGTCAATATTTTTCGATCGGTAAACTCTGGTTCTCTTCAAGAGACTTTCAATAATAATTCCCAATTGTTTATTGATCTGGTTCGAGGGTGAATCTGTATAGCATAGTTGATGGCAAGTTCGAAATGGGTGAATATCGTTGGTCCACATAAATCCAGTATACATAGAATTATTTGAGATGAAATCCTTTAACTGCCTAATTAATGCCTTTATGGGCATTCTTCAAGAATTGTGCTTATTATGGTAAATAATAAAAAATAGGGTAATTTTTTTTTTTTTATCAAAATTCCATAATACATATTTCAAATCTAGCAATTGTAAATGGAATGGTAAATAATTTACAACGCACTCTAATCTAAATAATTGTTTAGCATAGATACAATTTTGTACCTGTACAAGCATTTAAATGGTAATATTATGATCAAAATTAAGGAAATAAAAAAATTTTCGTGTACAAAATCTATGGAAAATCAATTTATTCGGCAGAAACAAACGCAACAAAAAAAAAACAGCTCACCTAGGACAATCCATTCACGAGCTATGCTAGGTATTACATAAGCAACTTTGTTTTATACATACATATATATAGTGATTTAAATTTTTAAATATTTGCCAACCCTATTCAAAATTATTAATTCTGGTTAAGAGTGCATTGAAATGCCTTGCATTTCCTGAATACGTTGCAATATTTTACTCGATTTATATTTAAGTATATACATACATATGTATACAGCTTTAAAACTGAAATGTTTAAACGAGGAAAGCCAGCGTAAAGCTAGCTAGCTAGAAAAATATTTCAATAAAAAATGTTATTTAAATACCATAGAACAAACCTTGGGTGAGGTATATGAATTTCTTTTGTATTAAATTATAAAAATAATAATTTTTAGCAAAAAAAAAACCGACTTCAACTCCCATATAAAAAATATATATATATATATATATATATATATCATGATCCGCTGATCGGATCTTAACCTTAGTATGGGACCACCTCTGAGACACTACATTTCCGATGCAAAAAGAATTATCGAAATCGGTTGACGTGGTCCAAAGTTATGCGGTAACATATGTACATAAAAAAAAAAAAAAAAATATTCCGACGAACTGATAACCTCCTCCTTTTTTGGAAGTCGGTTAAAAATAACCTTCGTACATTATTTCTGTTTAACTGCTATTTAAGTCCTCTTTCATTTGATACCAAATTTGTTTAATTTGGATAAGCGGTCTGTTTATTATTAGGAAACGACTTTATTTATAAGCACTTTCAAGTGGCTCATGAGTTTTGAGCAGTGCTGCCAGAGAGTCCTAAATATATATAGTTTGTAGGTGTCCAAGGTGGCTAGATACTAGTAGCTCGGGTATGTAGCAGCGTTGGGGGTTAATCAATTAATTTTTCAACCCACTTGGGAATTTATTAAAAAAGTAATTGCAATTAAACTTCAATTAAATATTGCATTTAAATAAAATGTAATTAAATTAACTTATTTAAAATTAATTTAATTGCAATTAAAATAAATAAAAACGGAAAGCTTTATTAGACTATTATAGGAAATTATAACTGTTGTTTCGTCTAAGAACCAAAAAAATAAAATTTTGATAATTGAAATTATCCCTAAGAAAATCACTAAAGTTATTGTATGCCTAATTTTTTCCCTCATGGCCTAGAATCACCCTAAATCTGGGGAGAACTACGCTAAACTGGCAACACTGGTTTAGAGTTGTGTCGTAATTGCAAAGGACCATCGATATGTATGGTATATATGCAAGTATGTATGAAGTTTATATCTGTACAAAAAACGGATACTTCAGGGTCATCATGATTTTCTTATTTCCGTTATGTTTGCTTCTTCAGAAAATTATCTTTGTTAACCTTTGCCATCTGGCGTCAAGCGGTCTTGTCAATCAGAACTATTACAACAGAAATGTAACTTTATTTTTACAAAGTAAATTCGCAATGGAATATATATTTATGTACAATAAAGGAATAAATAGAAATGTTGAATTGTGCAAACCGCAGCAAATGCGTGCAGTTTTTATCGCAATGTTGTTTTCTTATTTATAAATAGAGCTGAGAGAATGTCTACCTTTCCCGATGCTTCAAAATACATTCTAAACTAAAGGTATAAATACACCAAATGCTTACACACTTGTGCATCGTCTAAATTCTTAATTAGCTCTAAATAGCGAATTCCCCCAAAGTGTGTAATTAAATACCATTTCTATTTCGGTTTTTTTGATTCCCTAACGCTTTCTTTATTTCTTTTTTTTTCTCTTGAACGAATTGAAAGTTTTTATCAGCGTATTGAAAAGTCATTAATCAATTGAAAAATTGGGTTTGTTACTTCAGAGGTGAGTGAGGGGCTTGTGTGTTTGTGTTGTTTATGTTAGGCCCAGCAGGTGGCCGAAAACATAAGTAACCAATAATCAAATCGTTTATTTATGTATTTACACAATTTGTTACAGTTATTGTTGGTTTTTGACTGTATTCAATTTTAAAATTTCCCTTCGTTATAAATAGCTTTAGCTTAACGTTAAAAAAAAAGAGAATACATAGATTTGCAACAGACTTCAACTTGCCGTGATGAGGCACTTTTTGTATCGAAGATTTTTACCCGCTCGCCGATAGCAGAGATATACATATGTGATGCTAGGTAAACGATGGATTTTTTTTTTATATCGTTGTCAACTAACCTTAACTTTTTAACCACATAAACTAATAAGCTATAGTTTAATTTCTTCGGCTATTTTAAAGTGATACTACTGAGGCATAAATTGTTAATTCAAGGCAGCTATTGCAATTCAACAGTCAAAAAAATTTTCAATACATTTTTTTGGTTACTTTCTGAATTACTTTGAAGAATGGAATTGGAAGCAAAAATTTTATTTTTCCATTCCTTTCAAATTGAATTGAAAAAATGTTTTCACATTTTCATTCCTTTCAAAGGAATTGGAAAAACCCAATTACATTACTAGCACGTAATTAATTCCTTGTAATGGAATTTAAAAACAAAAAAAAATACTTTTAAAATTACTCCTAAGTAATTGAAAAAGTAATCAATTCGTTTGCTGTGGACTGAAGGAATTGATTACTAATTACAATACCTTGTAATTTCTAATTGAGAATAATATAATTCCTAAGGGAATCATTACAGCCCAGCTCTGTTTAACAGGTTCTATGTATGGTACTCGTATGGATTAGTTTTGTATTTTGTGAAAAAAAAGAGCAATCGAATATTTTTAACAAATCTACAGCTGGACGTAATAGTTTAGAAAACTTGTTGCTCGCCTACACGTTCTCTAGCTCAATCCATCTACATACATACATACAATACATACACATGTACATACATAACATTTAAGATATTCAAAAGCGTTTTGGCCATATTTGCACATTGCGTTGATTTCGCAAAGCAGCGACTTTAAAACACACATACATATGTACATACTCACTTACACCTACAAACTATATTAAGCGGTTACTCTATTAGACTGAGCACACTTCGAGTTCGATCAATTGCTTTCAGCGACAACAGTGCATATACATACATACATATGTAGTATGCATGTAAATACCCTGCAGGGAAAGCTACAAGTTGTGAGACAATTTTTTTTCCTTTTTAACCGACTTCAAAAAAGGAGAAGGTTATCATTTCGTCGGTATATATTTTTTTTATGTATATTACCGCATAACTTTGAACCACATCAACCGATGTCGATAATTTTTTTCTATCGAAAAGGTAGTGTCTCCGAGGTGCTACAAATTTGGTTTAGATCCGATCATTGGATCATGAAGAAATTAACGGTAAAACTAAATATAAATTTTTATATGAGAATTGAAGTCCGTTTTTTTTATTAGAAATTTACTTGTCTTTAATTAAGGTTTTTATTGTAATTTTAGTTTTTATGGTGCGGATAAATATTTATTTACAAATTATTATTTATATTTAAATTGAAATGAAATAAATTGGTTTAGATTTTTCGAATTAAATCAAAGCGGATTCTTCATTCGAAGCCACAGCCGATATTTTTAAGGAAAAGCAATAATTGAGTTTTATTTTCGGCTTTGACAATGAAAAGTCAGATGTCATCGCTTAAGCTTGCACCAGTTATTGAACTTGTATTTTTACTGATTGCTTTGGGTTTTCACTGCTGGGTAGAGTATACTCGCACTGTGATATGTGTATGTATGTATGTATGCGCGCGTGGGCTTTCTGAAACAAAATGATTCAAGCCAATGCATAAATTTTCTAAGCATTGAAAACGCAATGAGCTGTAACATGGGCCTGGCAATTATCGTCAATCGCCTCAAAAAATGCACATACATATGTATGTACGAATGTAGGTATGTACTATGAATGTATGTATACATACATATGTGGACATTTACTATTAAACTTAAAGATATGAAATACATCTACGAATCTATAAATTCAAGCTTTTCTTATATGTAAATCGCTTAGTCGCTTAGCACTTCCATGCGATCTGTCTAACATGCATACAAATCTACATATATGTATATATTTTCAGTATGCACGTACATGACTGTGTGTGTGCGTGTGTGAGCATTGACATAAAGTGTTTACTCAGCAAAATGCTCGCAAAAGCGGCCTTGACAATCAAATTGATTTTTTTAGAGACTTTAGCACTTTGTCGCGCCATTCAATGCCGACAACAGCGGCCGCCCTTTTATGGTAATTTGAAATAGGAAATCAACTCAAAAGGAATTAATTTCAGGCATTCTTTAGTGGGTGCTTAAGCGCAACAACATGTGTGCCCCACTTACCCAACATTCGAAGATTGGGGGCCATCGCACAGCAGGAAAGTGTGATCATTCAGTTGGCTCAGATACCATAAATATAGGTATTTATATATATGTAAATATATATATATATAGGTGCATATGTACATACATTAGGGTGGTCGTTAAATGTAGGAAGCAAATTTGTATATACGATTTCATAAGCGTCAACCCCTACGGCGATGCTACTATAGTCGAGGATATCACATAAATTTTAGTCCCGATTGGAGATGGAGTGTCGCACAGGGGGCAAATTTCAGATTACCCTATGAAGACGTCTAAACGGACTCCAATCGAGACCAAAATTTATATGTGATATCTTCGACTATGGTAGTATTGATTTTGGGTATTAGATGAAAAAAATAATAATTTTAATTTTTTGAGTCTCTAAAGAAGAATCTGAATCATGTCCCCCGTGCGACACGCCTTAATCGTCTCCAGTCGGTAACAAAATTTATATGTGATATCTGTGACCGTGGTATTACCAATTGAGGGGGCGCGACTGAAAAATATTGCTCATTCGATTTTTTAAGGACCACCCTAATGTATATACATATATACAAATTAACATAATGGTTTCTTTAAACTCTCATACAATTTTAATTGGACGTTTATGGGTGGATCTGTATGGGGAAAGATCAAAATTTGGCAATTTGCATTGATATTTTATATGTATGTATGTATTTGTACGCATGTATGTACATATGTATGTGCGCACGTAACGTCAGCTTAATTACTACTTAAAAATACGAAATTATTCGTATCTGTTGGAAATGTGTTTTCAAAAACACTCCCAAAATAGAGATTTTCCCAACCCAACGGAAACTAATTTTTGACTGTCAAAGTTTCTTTTAAATCAATAAAACCAATTGTGTCTTAATTTCCCTGTATTTCTTTACGTAAATAACAATCCTTCATCTCGTTTGTCGCTCGTATGCTGAAAGAATGACATAACTAAAGACCCAAATACCTATATGAGTTGATCAAACTTTGATAGCGTTTTCCCACAAAATTAAAATTTTGAATTATTCCCTATTATTAATCGATCGATATAAATATGTACATATAAATATATACATATCTACACACATACATATTTTTTAATATTTTTTTTAGGTCACTTCACACCTCTTGTGCTTTAAATACCGGTTACCTGTAACCAAATGTATCTGTAAATCATACTATCGTCATAAATTATTTAAAAAAAAACCATTTAGGCTTTTGCTTATGAGATTTAACGAATAGCCAGATACAAGCAACCGGCCATTTAAGCCATTTAAGCACAAGAGATTGTGAAAAGTGACTTATGCCACTTTCAAAATAAGCAGCTCATATACATATGTATGTATGTATACATATCTTACCTCAGCGCCAAAACCTCAACACCACGCATTCTTTTAATTATGGAGACATCGCTGAGATCACTTCCCCTGCAAATAGAAAACAAAACAATCACCGAAGTGTACAATTAAAACTTGTTTATTTTTTCGTTTTAAAATTTATCTTTAAGCCATTAAGTCAGCTTGCATAAATACATATCGTCAGCTTAGAACGAAAAGTTTCCAAGTCCACTTTTTCTGAAAAATTATATTTGTGGAATTCAATTCGAAGGCAGTTATTTAAGATTGGAATACGCGAAATTTTGTAATACAGTTTTCACAAAATACGTGCTTGCAGAAAATCAGTTTGGGTTTTGATTTGAAGGGTAAAATTTAAAAAAAAAAAAATCAACTTAGTAACTTTTCACTTTAAGCTAACGATATGTACATGCAAGTAGATGGGTTCAAACGACTTTATATCTGTCACGTCCGGAATCTCATTTTAATTTAAAATAAAACCAACAACGAATTGATTCTCATTAGATATGAATTGGTTGTAATGGTCCTTAATTTGAATTTATTCAAAAAATGTTTAAGAAAGGAGAACCTCGCAGGATTCGCAGAGTTTTGCTTAAGTATTTTTACATTTGCTCTAAAGCCACTTCTGTTTTTGTCACGTCCGATATGACCTCCTATTCATCGATTTTCCCGACACCAGTGTTTCAGGCGCACCTAATTTTTTTGTCAACCAAAGGACGATATAAAAGCCACACAACGGCAAATTTTTTTTTATAAGTGACTTCCGTTTTCATATGATTTATTTAACTCTATTTAAAGGCGCACGAATGTCTCGTCCGACATCATGGAAACACCCCATGAACCAAAAAGACAAGATCACGCGGGCAGGAGACTAGCCCGTTAGAATCGCATTTAGGAAAAAAGTTGAACGATTTTGACATTAGCCGTTTATTTACATTTCTTCGTTGTTTACAATTTGATGGTGGCTTTTTACTGCAATTTTCTTCATTTTCGCTTGTGACAACGTGTGTACACATAAGATAAAGAATAATTTAACACAACGGCACGATTTATAGAAGAATTTGCATAATAAAAATGATTTTTCATGCGTTCAACAATTTCACGGTTTTCTCCGTTCTCTTCGTTGTTTACTTCTTACAACAAAGATGGCGTCGAGATTTCGGCAGCTAGAAAATAACTTTTTTCGTTCTTTCCTTCCCGCGTGATCTTGTGTCTTTCGTTCATGGAAACACCCATATGTAACTAGTAGGGCATTCAATCCCGGAATCCAGAATTATTTTCTATGTAAAATTTCAAATATAGATAATTATTTAGGTACAAAAAGGCATACATATGTAATTATTTAGACCTCTTTATAAAGACCAAGTTTAACCTTTTAGGTTGTATTATATACATATGTATGTAAGTTAAAATTATAGCACGATTCATTTAGTTCTACCAGTGTAGTTGCCATCAAGCGAAAACAAGAAGCGAAACTCGAAGACGGCGAAACGGCGCAAGCGCATAGCTGCACATAAAAAAAAATCCACATTTTTCAGCTTCTGTCGCAACGGGCGTTGCATTCTTACGAGGACTTGAAGACAAACCTGTTTTATAGACACATACTTGTATACATACACACTTTCATACATACATATGTACATATGTATGTGTATGAAACTAATTTATCTGTATGTAACCATGGTATGCCTTTCCCAGTGCCCATTTTTACTAAGTACTACATATCTATTCATGTACATACATGCATACATATTCATGTATGGGTTAAGCGAGTGTGTCACGCTTGGAAAAACGGCAATGGGTTAAGTGGAAAGCGCTTGTTAGCTGATGCGAACGCTCTACATTTACTCCAAAGCTTAAAGATGGGAAAATTACTTGAACCAGAAACTACATACATACATACATATGTATGTACATGTATACGTGCATATGTACATATCGATGTATATACACACATACTATGTACAAACATATGTACAGTACAAGTCCAAAAAGTAGCTCTGCCAAAGTAGAGCTTCATTGCAGATGCGCTTAAAACTTAGTATTCGAAATAGAAACTATTTAGATACATACATACAAAAGTTACACTATGACATCTATAATTGTTACTCTAATGCGGTGTTTACATGAGCCGATTTTACGGGCAAATTTTAGTTGAAACCAACAATCACCTGGTGTGAACGAACGGCCCTTCAACTAATCGCCTCCAAAATTGCCGCATGTAAACAGCGTATAATTCTTCAGTGATTGGTATGTATGTAGTTCCAACCATTCTTTCGTTAGGATTTTTGGCGAGATGTTGGCGAGATGTATGTGCACTGAATTTAATAAAAATGAATTTTAATAAAAATTTTTGTTTTGTATTGGTAATAAACTATGTATGAAAAAACATCTGTGAAGTGCAGAATTAAAGCGTATTGGAACCGCTAAACAAATATCTATTTAAAGCAGCGATGAGCAGAGAGAGCTTTTACTCTTCACGCGCCAATACAAAATGTAAAGGAAGCTTAAAAGAGCTTTGCCCGCGGGCAAGACAGTGCCCCATCAGTGATTTAAAGTAAACAAACCCCCCGCCGCATACGCTTTTCTATATGTAGTTCCGAACCAGTTCTAAATTCGTCACCTTTGGTATATGTATGTAGATTTCTAATGAAATTTTTTTTTTTTATTGTTTGCGAGTTATTACATTTTCTCTTACTATTTTGGATTTGCGTAGCACTGAACAGAGTTACAGAGAGTTACGGTTAAAATAAAACAGGTAGTTCGATCTTTTCGAAAACGTTGCATTTCTAATGGTTATTACTTCTTGCATTAAAATATATTTTTTTTTAGAAAACGTTTAAACTTTTCACTCTTAGCAAGTGATATGTAGTCTTAAAAAGTAAAATAAATTAAATAGTTTTTAAAACGTTTCGCATTTCGCCGTTTTCGAACTGTTACTAGGAACTGGTTCGTTTTTCCCTATAAAGTTCTAGTACGGAACTAAAAACTTGGTTTACTAGTTTGGCTTTTTCCTGCAGGGTACGCTATACATTAGTATGCAGTAACTTCTGTTTAAATTCCACTAAGAAATTACTTGCATTAATATTTACTGCATACATATGTACATATGTAATGTGTTTATTTACTAGTAAATTGCATGTATAAGAGCTGGGAAAATTGTATGTTCGTATGGCACGCAACGCGACAACAAGCAACAACCATTAAAAGATCCATCTCAACAAAAAAAAATATATAGAAATAATACAAAAATTAGATTTCCACCTTGAAACTCATTCGTGCTAAGGAGAAAGTTCGAAGACAAAAGCCAATGTAAGCATGTATGTGCATATATATGTACATATGTATGAAAATAAGTACCACAAATGCACTCTGACCTAAGGCTTCGAGTTAAACTCTGCCGTCAACTGTTAATGACTTCTTTTTGAATTATAATCTACATATGTATGTAATTACTTTTTAGACTGTATTTCAAATAAATATAAATAAATAAATATATTTAATACAAGTAATTTTTAAGCAAAAGCCAAAACCGATTTCTCGTATAAAAACTTAAGAATACCGTTAATTATTCAGGATTCAATGATCTAATCTAAACCATTATTAATTAATACGAGACACCCTCTTTCTTCTAAAAAAATAACTATAGAAATCGGTTAACGTGGTCCAAAGTTATGCGGTAACATATATACAAAAAAAAACAAATACAGTGATACCCGCTTAAGTAACCCCCGCTTAAGTAACTAACCCGCTTAAGTAACCACCATTTTTGGGCAATGTGAATTTTTGAATGTAATCTGAAGAAAACAATTTTTATGGCCTTGAATATGAAGAAAAAAATGCAATCTGAAGAAGTTAACAAAAAGATGTTACTAGATCAATAATTATGTTCGCTTCTTCGGGTTCTTTTAAGTACCCAACCCGCCTAAGTACCTCAAAAAGCTGACAAATATCGTAGTTTCAACTTTCTCTAAACTACCTAAAAATGTGTAACAGTCTTATTTATTGTTAATAGATTGTTGCAAGTAAATATTAACTTGGAGTAAATGAGTGTACTCAGTTATTGAAATAACGAAGTTTTCGTATATCGCAAATTTACCGTTGTACGGGAAAAGGGTGTAATTTTCGACGGATTTGAATAATTTTCAACGAATTTGGTAGAAATTGATAAATCGGATATCGATATACACATTTGTGATCATAAGTGGATGGCGCCACGCCCAAACTCCAAAAATTCTAATTCTAATTTTATGCCAAGTGTTTATTGCGACAGTCGCTTTTAAGTCAATTAGCTTCAGTAGTTACTGATTTATCGCAATTTTCGTTTTTCAGTAAATTACATAACGGTAATTAGAGGTGGGCGTGGTTATTGCCCGATTTCTAAGACTAGATTGACCACCCTAAGAAAGGCTCGTATCGAGTTTGGTAAGGATTGGTGAAGCGGCTACTGAGATACAGTATTTCATCATAAGTGGGCGGGGTTACGCCCATTTTCCAAAAAACTTCATAATAATATTTTTTTTTGCACTAAAATTCTACTTCACATACTAATTTTCAACAATTTGGACTCATTAATTACAGAAATATCGTAGTTTTTTGCATTTTTCGAAAATACAGTTATATGAGAAGGGCCGTTTTTCGCGTTTTTTTGTAAGTGGAAAGTGGGCGTAATTTTAGTCCGATTTCGAAAATATTCAATATATACATAGCTTTTTTATGTCAAGGTCAATAATTGTACTAAATGTGTGTGTGCTTTTATGAGCCTTAAAAACAAATATTCTTTATAATTCTCATTATTAATAAACTTTAACTTGTAGGTGAACTTTGTTTCTTTTGTTCAACTCAGAATTTATGACACCAAAAGAGTCCGAAATGAGTCAGTCTGGTTGACTGGTTTCAAAATCAATTTTATTTATGTAACAAAAGAAATACTAATTTTAGACTCATAAATTCTGAGCACTCAGAAATTGTTTAAATAGATCTTTTTACAGACATTTTTTCAGTTTTCATATATATGTATATATACATATGTACATATATCACTAACTTAGAGTGAAAAGTTGTTAGGTCCCATTTTAAAAATGATAACCATTTTCTTCAAGTATTTCGTAAAACTTTGAATACAACATTTTGGCTGTTTAAAGTAAAGCAAGACTCCATATGAATCAGAGGGATTCGATCTTTATTAAAAGATGTCGTACTATTTTTGGCCTTATCGGATTTTCGGTGCTTCTTTTGGACTTAGCACATTTAACTTTCATTGAATATGAACGAGAATAAATAAGAGAAGTAGCTTTATCCTTTTTTTAATTTTGAAATTTTCGTGGATGTCTTTACTTTGTACGTAGAAATAAAAGGGTTCACATAGAGTGCTACTATTATTTTGCGCACAGCTATACATGCAGAGGCTGCACATACATATTTGTATTGATTTAGATTTTAGTTCGAGGTCAACGCCATTCGAAGGATTTGGCCAAGCGTAACTACTACACATTTTTGTTTGCGACCGATTTACATATTTACATGTATGTGATACTCAATATTTGTATGTACATACGTGTTTATTTATGTATGTAAATATGTACTGCATTATACATACATATGTACATATGTATGTACATATTATGTATTCACTAGGGCGGGTGTCAACAGTGCAAAGTAATTAAATCTAAAACAAACAGATATATGTAGATATGTACATGCAACGACAAACACTGAAATGCAGTTGCAATTGCCGCTTCAGTGGACAATGGATAAAGCGCAACAGACCACAGCGCGGGCGTTCATAATAAAATGGGCAGTGTTGACATAAAGACTCTGCTGGACAGAAGGCAATGACACCGTCTGTTAGATGTCGCAAACCAGCGTACAATAGAGATACATACATACATACATACATACGTACAACCATAAGAACGTTGATAATAATGCAATTGAATCAGCAATCAAAGAAACAACAACAAACATTGGTTTAATGTGCTCAAATAAGATTGCCTACAAGTTTTTTGATACATACAAATATACCCAGTAGAAAAAAGAAGAGGTAAAAAGCAATTACAGAGTGGCCGTCTCTGGAATGTAGAGGACCTTACCATCTGCATGATTTCCTTAATTATTTTTTATATGAAACGGGCCCAATTGGAAGGCATTGCGTTTCCGTTTACTGGAGAACAGCTCAAAGAAGGGCGTATTTTTTGTGCGTAACACTTCACAGATGCTTTTTCGGTTTATATGGGTAAAGAAAAACCAATAACTAAAATGAAAAATTATATGTTGGCTCAAACGAAATCCTTATCAATTACCAAGTTGCCTTGGTTTACAATATTTCTCGTAGCAGCTGGAATGGCATTCCAAATACGTATAGCGTTTACGAAGAACAGCCTTGTAGACATTACATAAATAAAAATTGGTACAATTAAATTTCCAGATAGATTTACTAAAAATGAGTTTGTCATACAGATACGAAGGTGTTTTGGTTTAAATGAGATGGAATAAGAAAATAACGGTTCTAAAATTTTCTGGCATTTGAAAATATCACAACCTAAGAGCTGAGATCTCCATGACGATATGTGATCATATTTACGTAGCCCATAGACATATCGCGTTATGTGATTGAATTTTCTTGGGAGGAAATGTAAACTGTTCACCCAAAACTTTACAGATATTCGAAAAAATACTGTCGTTTAGTTGGTACCTCGGTGCCTGCTGAGCGCCTTTTTTCAAAAACTTGTGCTACAGCCGCGATTGCCATCAAAACCCTTATCACCCGGTACCAAGCAAAGGGCTACCCTTATGCTTAAATAATAACTAATTATCGCCGCTAAAAATACTCGTTTTTTTATTTACTGCTAAGTAACAAGAGAATTAGAGATTTTTTATAGAAAAGTGTTTTTGTGAATACTCACTGTAAAAAAAGAGCCATTAAAATTTCGATTAATCGATTATTTCTCAATAATTGCAATTAATTGCAATTAATTTTTTTGGCTTGTGATTAATCATATGATTAATTAATCGATAATTTTTTTTTGCCATCCCTAATCGCAATGGAACCGAGCGGATGATGTGTAGTTTTGACGCCACTAACTAAAAAAGTTTGAGAACTAACTGAAGTATATTTTTTTCGCGTTATCGCAACAGCTGCTGTGGCCGAATGGCCGTGTTCTTGGTCACGGGTTCAAAACCTGTGGCATGGAATTTAATTTTTTTTTTTTTATTCTATTTATGTATATATTAGATACATCTATGTTTATAGTTTCGTAAAACGACACGTGACACATTACTTTCGTATGACAACGCTGTAGAGAAACTCTTGCATCTTTTCGTGCGTAGGTTAAAGAGGCTATCCATTACTTTTTGCATTCCCAAATATTACCTTTTTCCAGTGGGTTCATATGTATGTAAATATGTGTATAAGTATACTTATATGTGCATGAGAAATTTAATGAAATGAAAAATTCAGAACTATGTGTTATGTATGTACTAGAGATGGGCAAAACAAGTGATTTTCTACGTGACACGTCATGTCACGGTTGATGCAGAAATGTTCTAAGAGCATCCAGATGCATTTCTACATCAAAATTAAAATTTAAAAAAATTTCGCTTCCATCTTTTTGACGGTCAGGGCTCAAATATATGTGTATTCTCAACCAAAATCAAATCGTAAGCTACTACTGTTTAAGCTATTTACCGTATTCACTTTTGACGCATTCAAAGATACAACAGATGAATCTGCAGAAACAGTTTTTGAAGTCATTAATTAATGCGGAAATATAGATTTAATTGACAAAATCAGAAAATAAAAGTTGTGACGGTGTTTTAAAATTTTGGGAGGAAGTTAAAGATTTTCCACCCCTTAGAAGGCTTTCAAGACAAATTTTTAACATACCAGCTAGCTCAGCAACTATTGAAAGAGTTTTTTCTGTGTCGGGCAGAATTCTAAAAGAAAGACTTACACGATTGGTGAAAACCTTGACAAAACAATATTTTTAAACAAAAACAGTTTAAAATTACATTGAACATACATCATTGATATAACCGATACTGTACATACATATCAGGGAGGCCAACTCGTGGGGAGTTGCCCCGATTTGCGGGGAATTTCAGTTTGCGTAGGGAATCGGGAAATGGACCGTTTTTGTGCGGAATTTCGGTTCGTTCAATTCTAGTATAACAAAGTTTCAAATGGCTAAAAATTACCGTTGATTTTTTAGAATTTTCCTTGCATTTGCTTTCATATAGCGAATGAACATAACATAATTTTTATATGGAATAAAACAACGCAACAACTTAGGAAAAAATCCTAAAACGGAAATTTGTAGCCATTTAAAACTTGCACTTTCTTATTCTAGAATTGACAAAGCTGCATACTCAAAATATTTACAGAAACTCCAGTTAAAAAGCTCGAAATTTTTACGAAAGCTTGTTGAATTTTTTTCAAATATTGCACAAAGTCTGAAACTTGGATTTATACAGTTTTTGTTAAAGAATAAACTATATTTTTATAAAAAAAAAATAACGCAAATTAAATAACAAAAAATAATAATAATTGATGGAAGTAAATATTTTCGACCACTGTATGTACATATGTAAATATTATCTACATACATAAATATTTTTTATTCTTTATTTGTTAACTACCTTTGTAAAAGTTTGGTTTGGTTTATCAACACATAGATTAATTTCGATTAAAAATATAAAAAAGAAAGACCAGGAATATATCAAAATACATAATTTTTTGTATGTATATTTACTTACCAGCAGTTGAGTTTTTTGATGGACCCCAAATCGGATTGCTTTGAGCGGGCAATGACCATTTCCTCGGTGAGACGCGTCATTGTGTTTTGTTTTGACGGTTGCACAGCTTTTGTGATATTTAGTAATTTTCTTAAAATCTATTTGTTTTCCTTTTATTTGTTAATATCTTTGTATGTATGTATGTACATATGTATGTACATATATTTTCGTTTTTGTTGTTTACCGTCCTTTTTTATTGCTGCAACAAAATAAGCAAATAGAAAAACACTTCAATTCCACTTCATTCGTGTACCTACTGAAAATCCGTTTCGCAAGCGCTGGAGGCTAAGCCCAATTGCACAAGTTAAATGCACAAAAACAACAAATGTAATGAAAAATGCCAACAGGTTTTTGCCGTAACTCTTTACTTTTTTGATTATCTTTTTTCTGATGGCAAACGCGTGCAGCGACGGCATTTCTTTACATACATATTTTCTGCACTCTTATGTATGTACATATGTATGTATGTACATATATACATATGTATGTATGTACATGTACATATGGTATATACATACACGCATTTGATTACATATTAACGCGTTGATTTTTGCAGAAAATGCCCATCTGCAACTGTTGCAACAACTTATGCTCCCTTTCCCCATCGTCTGCGCTACTCTGACGTTTATTATCAGAAATGTATTTACTTTACTTTTTATTTTTGTAATAAATTAACTATCTACTTTGTTTATTTTTCTCAAAACCGAATTTCTACTTCAGCTTGACCACCTACATGCATGACAACATACAGCTCTGATTGTTCAGCAAAAAAAGTACCGTTTTGAATGCAGTTAAAGACTTGTTCTCATAGCTTCTGTATTTAAACAAATTTTATGGAAGGTAAAGCTTTTCCTCCCATAGTAGACCCGCAAGTAGACGTCAAATTTATTTTCCTACAGGCTAATGCGTGTGTGCATATTCATACATACATACATATGTACATATTTATGTCGGTACAAATTTAAGAATGCAGCAGCAGCATCTATGTAGTACCTACAATAGCAGAGCATATCTGACAGGTGCCAATCATACCACACATGTTTGCCAACACGAAACCTTTTTTAACTAATCACCCCCACCGAAATCCGCTTTTGATATTGAAACTATTTTCCACACAGTCTTTTAACTACGATATTTAATTTAAACAACGTCATCGATTTTTTCGCATTTCCCGGATCCGCCTTTCAATTTTTCTCTCCCTTTTCTTTCATTCAAAGGCATTGAGCACCATTCACCACTTTTCACTATTTTACTTCATTTAAACAGCTTTTGCAAATATGTATGAGCAATTTTTGTATTATTTTAACTTCTTTTTACGAATGTTTACGAGTTTTTCACAGTGAATTTTGGGAATTAATGAGAGTTGTTTTTTTTGATGGGAAAGAATTTTTTACAATTATGTTTTTCACAAATTTTCTTCGATTCGCTTTTAACAGCAAGTGTGTGCCTTTGCTCACATCATCGCCAGAGAACATTAACGTCAACGTCAACGTCAACGTCGCTGTCGTTGTCGACGTCGACGTCGTAATAGCCATTCTCGTTGTTGTTGTTGGCGTTTGCTTAGTCTCTCGTCATCATTACCGTGTGTGCGGTTTTTCACTTCTTGGCTCGTGCTCAGAGGTAATTAGGTACTTACTCTTATTGTACACGCGTTCATGTATTTAATTTCAGTTAAGTATTTACAACTTTAGTTGCGTACTCGTACGTATGATTCTTTACTATATTTAGCAATTTACCGTCTTGGCCGTTGATACTCGTAGAGTGATGCGTTACGAACGCTTAATGACACTTCAACGTAATACAAACTTTTGTGTATATGTATTTCCGTTTATTCCTTGTTATTGTTTTTTTTCGGCCACTCACATCGCTCGTTACTCGCTTCCGTAGTTGACCATGCACGCGCCGCGTTTGTGTTGAGACTGGCAGCGCCAACTAACAGTTGCTGCTGTGTAAGCTAGGCGCTCCATCGGAATGTGTGCTCCACACGCTCGCGCGCGGTGGCTTTCGTTGGTGTTTACGTGAGCTTTTTTTGAGGCGAATTCATCTTTTGTTTTGCTCCAGTGCGTCCATGAGTGCGGGGGAGGAAATGGGGGAGCCGGCGGCCGAATTGCCAGGCAAAGTTAAATGTGACAGATATCGGTGTTTTGTGATAAATAAAAAGCTGGCGATGGAAAGAAAAATTTATGGTTAAAATGCTTAAACAATAATTCTAATGCCATTAGATTTTTAACGTTTTTGTAGTATGATTACTTATTTCACGAAAAAGATTGTAATTATTTTATTCACGTGTCTGTGTTTATACGAAAACTGTTAAATGCAATATGCATGTTTTCTTATTAACTTGGAATAATTCCACTGGGAAAATAGGTAAGCGCCTTACGAGGTAATCCACATTTCTTTCAGCTTTTAGTACCAAAAATGTCAAAAGGCACAAAATGAACAGCTCCCTCTCTTTCAAAAACACTCCAATTTATAACTGACATCAAAAAAGGAGGAGATTATCAATTCGTCGGATTATTTTTTTATATTTATTAATGTTACCACGTAACTTTGGACCGTTAACTGTTTTCTATACCGCCTGCCAAAAAAAAAAAATATTAAATATCAACGCAAATCCTTAGCCACTTCAAATTTGTATACTGAAAATTGAATGGGCTATGAAAAAAATCGTAATCGTATCATTTATAACAAATCATATGTAATAGTCTTAAAATTTTAACTAATATATGTAACTTAACTTATATATTCTGTTCTCTATCTCACTACACCTTTTTAAAACGAAACAAATTTTTACCTTTTATCAAAACCGTAATTATTTTTCATTAATAATCTTTACTGCAATTTAATGAATTTTTTTTTCTGTCAGTTTCCATGTTAAATTAAAATAAAAAAAAATCATATTTCACTTACTAATTGTTTTCGTGAAACTGGCTATTCGAAATTTTTGTGGTAGAAATCATAACAAATTTGCTTTTTGTGCTTTTATTTATTTTTATTTATGTGCGATTTATTCAAATTTATTTAAAAGTTTTTTTTTTGTAGGAAGATACAGAGTTTTAGGAGATCGAATCCATTTTCCAATTTCCAATGTCGATTTTCTAGTGAACCTCAATTGGAGGACCAACCCACTCTCAAACAAAAGGGCACATTTGTGGTATGCAAAATAATCTGAGTTACCCACTTGAGAAAAACATGGATAACAATTTGAATTTGAGCATTATTAAACTTTTTATCAAACCATGGAAGAAATGAGGGTCAAGAATTTTGCATAGATTAGGAAAAAATTGGAAAAAATTTTGCTTTGACCATTTTGGGAAGCCAAATAAATAAAATAAAAAATAAAGTTTATCCGAGTGTATTTCTGCCATGAAAAACAAGTGTTCATAGAAATACCATCGCATTTCATAGTCGGCGTAAAACTGTAGGATCCCTCTCCTTTGTGCGACAACATCAAGGCGCACGCCACAATTCGGATCGCCAATCCATTATTATTATTATTAAATGCGTAATTTTCACCAAGATCTGCTGAACTGAGAACCCCCGATTTCAAATTCGTAGATGCTTAGATCCTTATTTTCAATGTATACTTGACCGAAAAAAATATTTTCTAATCGAAAATTTATTTAAGATTTTTGCAAAAGTTTCAAAAATTTACATTCAATTACACAGTGAAACTCGGTAAAGCCTAAAACAAATCATATTACCTAACACCAATGCGGCCTGGTCGGCCAAGCGACGATGAAAGTTGTTTGTAACCTAGGAAACTTCATTAACATGAATGCAAGCGTCAAAGGCTTCACAGTCCTGTGGTCAAAGGAATAAAAATAAACAATAACAACCAGCCTTAGAGAAAGTACTTTCTCAAAAAAAAAAAATATTTGCTTCAAGTGTCTTCATCAGTTTTAATAAATATTGTTTTAAAGAAAAACACAAAAATACTTCAATTTTATTAACTGCAATACGTTTATATTTTGCTAGTTGATTCCATTTATCATCGTATATTAGTAAAAACAAAATTGTGTATCACAACAGCCGACGGACGTATACGTAACCTAAATGGTCTCACCGAGAAAGTCAACATCTGCATTGAGCCTCATTCCAGAGGAACGTGGCAAACTGCTGCCGTAAGTCCCTTCGCTTAGCATTGTAATTATTTTAGTGGTACACACACATACACATTTGCTTTTTCTACACAGGGTGTCTACAAAGAGCTGTGAGAGCCTTTACTCGAATACGTCCAGTTCGAAAAGTTCAATTAATAACTTATATCGGCGCAAGCAAAACGCCGGCAATGTCGGCGGTGCAGGTGGAAACATGGGCCGCCACTCTACACTGATACCCGCCACAACAGAAGTGCGCCAACGCGTATTATCCGCTCGCCGTCTACGCATGAAAACATTTCAAAATCAGTTGGCCGATGCACAGCAAACAATTGCGGTAAAATATTTAGCCATTCATATCGAATATATGTATATGTATCTCTAACGGTATCGTTTGTAGGATCTCGCACATGAAAATCGTATCCTACGCACGTTACATAAGCGCCAGGACTCCGCCTTGGCCAAATATGAATCAACAAATGCCGAATTGCCGAAACTTTTACACTCCCACGCCGAAGAGTTGCGCGTGTGGCAGGCAAAGTACCGCCACCTACAGCAGATCAACAAGGAGCTCGAGCATAAACTCAAAGCAAAAGAGTCTATAATACTCACGCTTAGCGATCAAAACAAATACTATAGTCAACTCAATAAGGATAGGTGAGTGCGCTTGTGAGGATATACATACTATGTATGTACATATAGGAACTGACCAAGCAACACTGGGGCTTTAAATTGAGATATCCCGCGATCATAAATTTTACTTCTTAAACTTTCGATATACTACTTCTATATATATGGTCTCACTTAAGGTCGTTTTGGTTTTGGGGCAACCCAGTCTTTGAGAAAAGCTCGGGGAAAATGTGAAGACGCTGGCGGAAACTCAAAGACAACATATTGTTGACAGACGAAAACATATTGGGCCTTATGCATAAAAAGTGAGCTTAAGCTCAGACTCAACTTTTACACTAATGGAGTGAGCTTAAGCTAAAGAATTTGTACTGAAAAGCGAGTCGGAGCTTAAGCTCAATTTTTAGGGAAGGGGCCCAATATGTCCTAAACTCTCCAGCTATCTGAAATCCCGACGCTTTCTCACTTTACTTCTGAGAGACTTCCGGCACGTATTCCCAAATAAAGTGTTCAGCCGTAATTTGTATCAAGTAAAGTACAGGTAAAGCGCAAGAAACTCATACTTCAGTTGTCTGTTGTATGCAATCTGACCACCCATTCTGTTGACGCTTTAAGACTTGTCAGAAATCCGCCTAATACAGCGACTTTCATGCGCATTACACATCCTGACCTTTTAATTCGAGGTGATATCGTCTACTGTTCTTT